TTTTTTGTACCTACCAGTCCTACGGAATCCATCTTTGGGAAAGCAGGTTTATCAAAATGAAGCAAAAAGTACTGTAGAAACGCTTAAGCATGTCAGATAACAAGGCTGAGGCGTGGTCTTGGTAAACCATTAGATCAATGGAATACCGGTACAGAATGTTAGGAATGTACAAGGTCAAGTGAGTTTACTGTAATCCCTGAATTACAAAAAAATTCAGAAACAGGATCGCTCCTTTTAAAATCTTCAAATTTCTAAGCAATTGTGGCTACATCTGGAGGTGAGTTAGTTTAATTGATAACAGATAGTTAATCCCGAGGTTAAATTATCACATTATGACGAAAACGAAAAATCGATTTATTATAATTATCCTTATTATTATTATTATTATTATTATTATTATTATTATTATTATTATTATTATTATTATTATTATTGCCTGAAGGATAACCTTAACCTTAAGCAAGTTTTATGGTAGAGCAGTGCATATCTTGCGGAACCTGTGTCAACGACTGGTAATAGCTTAGTTTCTTTAAACATTTACGATGATTAAATGTTTTTGAACGCCTTTGAAAACTGGAAATCCCTGCCAAATCTGAATGGAAATCTGGAAATCCCGCTAAAAAGACTTGGTTCCGGAAATCCCGGATATCTCGTACGCTACTTTGCATAGCGAAATGCCCCTCGAGGTAAATAATGATTGTGAGCAGCAATATCCAATCGTTTTCTGCAAATTGTCTTGTTCAGGCAACTGGCAATTGTGACGGGTCGTAGTGGTTTAAGATCACGAATTTCTTTGATAAAGGAGAAAAGAGTTTTCTCTGGTATATTCATCAGTGGTTATTTGGGTGATGATCTGAACTAAGAATTTTGAAACATTGTAATTCCAAGTTCCATTGGCAGAAATGATCGGGCACAGCAGCGGCAAACTTTATCATGAATTTGAGGACCATTTCATTTCACCGATAAATATGTTTGTGTGAGTGTATGAGTGTGTATGTATGTGTGGGACACATACACACACACATTTATCGGTGTAATAACTAATTCAAAATCATTCATGTTTATACAGGAGAGGAGCATATGAGGCTTTATCGAATATATTCTCAGAAGGGTTAAAAGATCCCTGTCATTGGCATTCGTTTCCTCCTTTTATTTAGAGAAACAGAGTTTTATGTAATTTCGTGCTGACACATCTTTGATGAATCCAGTTTATGCTTTGTTTTCCAAGCTATGTACATATAGCATGAAATCATATGTGTCATAGTGATGGTCAGTTTTCAGATATTAAAACGGTGTGAATAATATGAATAATATTGCATCAAATGAAATCAATGAATCTTAGAATGCAGCGCCTGTTTGATCTTTTAAGACGGGTATGCAAGGATCGCGGACCAGTGAGGATTCCAGAGATCTTGACTGACATATTTATGTCACTTGCTTTGAACCGCAGGCTTTGCTCCGTCGAGAGCGCTGCAGGACGGAAATTCGCCAGATACTTCAGTTCCATCTTCCGGTCGTTGCTTTGTGTGTGTGTGTGTGTATATATATATATATATATATATATACGTATATATATAATATATATATATAATATAAATATATATATATATATATATATGTATATATATATATATATATATATATATATATATATATAATATATATATTACAGACACACACACACACACACACACACACACACACACATATAATATATATATATATATATATATATATATATATATATACATATATATATATATATATATATATATATATATATATGTGTGTGTGTGTGTGTGTGTGTGTGTGTGTGTGTGTGTATGTGTGTGTGTGCGTCTGTGTGTGTGTGTGCGTGTGTGTGATGTATATATATACTCACACACACAAGAGATAGTTTGTATATATATATTGATAATCCTATATCTTTTTCTTTATCACCATTGCCCTTGCCGCTGTGCTCCTCCCGCACCCGCTGGCGATCGGCTGACCTCGGCTTCGTCTCTTGCAGGAGTGCCCGACGGGACTTATCGACGAGGAAGGCTTTAAGGGGATTTTTTCCCAATTTTTCCCTCTTGGAGGTGAGTTTGGCTTCATGAAGTTATACCCAGATAGTTCTATGATCATTTCTTGGTACTAGAATACATGTATGGTTTGGTATGATATGCGCATTAGTTACCAATTCATTGGTTGTTTAGCACAAAGGTCTGCTATCAGAAACCTGGAGGATTTTTATAAACCTATGGAAAAGGACATATTCTAAATGAAGAGTTACATCTGTTACAAATCATAGATGTCTGTGATTGGACTTATAATTTACGATTGGGTAGCTGCCAGTCCATCAACTCCTTGGTCGCCAAGTCACGCCCTGTTTGCGACCTTTGTCACTCCGTAGTGTATAGTAATTCTTGACAGCGACTCATCCCGCTGGCCCGCCTTTTCACCCACTTGTTCACTTCCCTCTCCCTGCCCCCCCCCCCCCCCCGCCCAGGCTGCACAGAAGCCCAAAAGTGGGGACTACACATAATTGCACCTATTTCTTGCCTCAGTATCAATAAGTCATGTGTCAAGAAGATTGTTGTTTTGCAAAGGCAAAACATATATATATATATATATATATATATATATATATATATATATATATATATATAGAACTTTAATTCTTTTCTTAGGAAAAAACATATATATCTATATTCAAAAATATATATATTTGTATTTAAAAGGATATATATATATTTTTTATTTATTTTAAAGAGGAAGCTCTATTACACACTTCATTTGAATTAATTTAAATTTGGAGAAGAAAGGAAGTGAACCAAATGTTTTAACCTTACATTTTCGTGTCAAAGTTCACAAATACAAGATATACGAGTATATCTTGTGCACAAAATTAATTGATATCTTATTTTTACTTATGGCTCACATTCCTTTTCTCCCTCATTCATTCTATTAATCGCTCACCTGACACGTATAGTATGCTTCTGTGTATGTGTGTGTGCGTTTAAATATTTCGACACACATATCTATTGTATTTATACATGTATCTCTTTATCTGTCTCCTTATACACAAGCATGTGTGTGTGTGTGTGTGTGTGTGTGTGTGTGTGTGTGTGTGTGTGTGTGTGTGTGTGTGTGTATGTGTGTGTGTGTGTGTGTGTGTGTGTGTGTGTGTGTGTGTGTGTGTGTGTGTGTGTGTGTGTGTGTCTATATATATATGTATATATATATATATATATATATATATATATATATATATATATATATATATATATATACAAGGGGGCTTCAAAAAGTTCGTGCATAAAGTCCATAACTAAAAATTATTTGGAACGATTTTGATTTCAGTGTACCTGAACATTCTTGTACCAACGTGTTATGGCATGTTCAAACATGAACCCATAAAGGCCGTCTGAGTAGAATTGAGGGTATTGTGAACTGAACCATGTCAGAGTAGCTTTTTTACATTTTCAACTGACGGAAAGTTGGTACCTTTGAAAGATTTTTTTAAACTTTGGAAACAAAAAGAAGTTGGATCGGGCTAAATCAGGTCTGTAGGGGGGATGCCGAATGATTTCCCATCGAAATCCACGTAGCACAGAGATTTTATTGGACAATTTTCTCAAAACACTTTCATTATAAGCAGATTTAATTGCTTTCTTGTTCTCGAGAAAGTCAACTAGCAAAATCCCCTCTGTATCCCGAAGACAGTGGCCATGACCTTTCCTCTTGAACCCGGGGCAGCCACTGCTTTGAATGAATTTTGTTCTCGGGATCGAACTGGTAGAGCCGTGTCCATCCCCTTTCACAATTCTGCGCAGGAAAGCTTCAAAGTCCCCATCCCACTTCTTCAAAATTTCCATTGAAAGATCTGCCGTCGTTTGCTGCTGAACTGGGCGCAACAGCCTAGGGACCCATCTAGCGGAAAGATTGCTTGTTCCCAAATTCTCCACAAGAATTGTATGCGCAGAACCCACGGAGATGTTGTGTGTATCTGCTACCGATTAAGTGGCTATTCGTCTATCCTTTTCAGTCAAGTCATGAACAGCATCAATCGTCAGCTCTGATTTTTTCCACTTCTGGAGCGACTTATCCATCGACGTATGGAGCATTATTGTATTTATGTATGTATGCATGTGTATATATACATATGTATGTATGGATGAATGTATGTATGTATGCACGTACTTATAGGGTATACATATATGTATGAATGCATTTATGTACCAATCATATAGGATGTGTGCTCATGTATGTGTATGTTCATATGTTTGTTGATTTTTTTTTTTTTTTTTTCCTGTTAAACCAGTGTTTATCCAAGTAGCTGAACTCGGTACTTACATCCGGGGAGTTGTTTTAAAGGGTGAATGCGATAGCGCCTTCTTATGCTTGGGCAGTCAGTCAGCCGAGCCCGGGCTCTCCCTCCTCGGATTGGCCCTCCCTGGCGAAGGGAGAGCCCGGGCTCTCCCTCCTCGGATTGGCCCTCCCTGGCGAAGGGAGAGCCCGGGCTCTCCCTCCTCGGATTGGCCCTCCCTGGCGAAGGGAGAGCCCGGGCTCTCCCTCCTCGGATTGGCCCTCCCTGGCGAAGGGCAGGAGCGGCCTCGCTGCCATCTCGCACCCAGCAGCGTTTGACGACTCTTGGTGCCTGGGTCTTTTACTGACTATAATTTGCATGACAAAAACATGTTTTTCATATCTAAGCAGCAGTGTGGCTATCAAAAACATCACAGCTCTTTTCGTGATTTATTGAGTCTCTGGGCCATTCCCATCTTACAACTCAAAATAAAATTGCTGTATTCCTAGCTCTAACTTTAGAAATGTTAATACAAAAACTTTTCAATCTATGTCAAAAAATCTAAGCAATGATGAGGAGACCATGTCAACTTTGAAAGGCCTTTTCGTTGTATTGAATTTTTCATTCGTTGCTTCTTTGCAAACACCGTAGGAGATTTGAAGCGTTTCAAGCACAGTAGGGCTGCCAAGCGTCCCAAATTCTTCCCCTA